AGTACACCGTGTTGTTTGCTCGAGGAACCAGCGAGCCAGGAAACGTAAGCCCAGTCGCCGAATCTCCAATAGCTATGACATTAATATCGCATAGGTTGGTGTTCTCGTCGGCCCTCCTCTCTTCGAGGCCCTCCAGGATGCCGTCGGCGAGTCCGCGTTGACCGTACAAGGCGTGAACGGCTACTCGGCGTCGGTCGAGGGCTATCTGTCCGGCGGTGACGCAGCCGGAAGTGCTGCCATGTACGCTCCCTTTACTTCTCTAGATATGTGTGGCACGAACCTAACCTCCTTTCCACAGGGCTACCCAAGCCAAAGAGGCTCTCTCCAGCTGTCCCGACACCAAGCTCATTCTGAGCGGCTACTCTCAGGGCTGCCAGATCGTGCACAACGCCGTCGAACAGCTCCCCGCGGAGACGGCCAGCAAGATCAGCAGCGTGCTTCTTTTCGGTGACCCCTGTAAGGCTTCTGCATCCTGAGCTATTGGTGGAACGTGTGCTAATGAGATCCCCTAGACGAGGGCAAGACCCTTCCCAACGTGGATGCGTCTCGCGTAAAGACCGTCTGCCATGACGGAGACACCATCTGTCAGAACAGTGTCATCATCCTTCCCGCTCATTTGACCTACGCCGTTGATGTGGCGTCGGCAGCCGACTTTGCTGTCTCGACCGCGAAATAATGGCCCAGTCTCCCAGCGGAGACGTCCGGTTGTCAAAGCAGACTGCAAACCACTTCCCTCCGAGGGCGTTGAAGGCGTGTCATATGGAAGTCATGTAATATATCTCGATGAGTGATGAGTAAACGCGTTAGTCTGGTGGGCGTAACCTAGTTTAATTATACATATTCTCTGCTTTATTCTTGTATTTCCCAGGACAAGATTAGAAGTATCTATATTCGAGCTGAACTTTACAATGATCCGATCGTACGGTGGTATTGGAGTTTGTTGCTATTTCCACTAGACATAATTACCAATAATTAGTCTAGCCTTAAACTTAATATACTAGCTGAATATGTAAGGTCTACTACATAGACCTGGGTCCTCCACATGTTACTTACTCCATACCCAACCGGCTACCTGTATCCGGCGATTCGCTATGCCCGTTACGAGCATTCAGGGTGCTCAGCTAAGCGTTTAACCTACTATATGCACCTGGATCGGCATAAATCAGAACCAAATGGAAAGTCTGAAATAGCGTATTCGATCCATCCTCGTCCAAGAGGTCACGGGAACGGGCCAGTCTCATAAGATGGCATCCGAGTCGGCAGTATATCGAACGCTGACCCAATGATGCCCCCAATCTCCCCCGTGGCCGTTCCAGCCGCAAGAACCCCGGTCCCTATCAGGCCGCCGTCACTGGCATCGCGAAGAAACACACTGCGTCCCCCTGGCTGGGGGCCCGCCCGCAGCAACAGCTGGTCAATATATCGTTGAATTGTTTCCTGGTAACGAGGATAGTGCTGTATCACCCCTCCTGTGACCGCCACAGCCAGTTCTTCCGGGCCTCCCACCCCCCCATCTGGCAGAACGGTTGGCGTCTCCGTCACAGCGTCCAAAATCGGGGAAGGGTCGGAGTCCCCCGGCCGCCGGAGGTGAATTTCCCGCGTGCAGGCGAGGAGGCCGATCGTCGCCGCAGCTACCAGCGCGGATGCGCGTTCCTGTACGACTCTCGCGATGGTTTGCAGATCGCGGGCCGAGTCGACGGTCCACTGCCACTTGCTGGCGGGCGGCACGGGCAATCCGAGGCTTAATGCGCCGGCGAGAAGGTCATCGGACCGCGTGGCGGCCACGGTTAACGAGAGGAAGTCAGTGGTTAGGGCATATTCCGTCACCAAGGCATGAGGCAGGTCTGACCGTGGAACACCCAGCACCCCGTGAAACCAATCGCACGCGATGCGTCGCACCAGCTCCCCCAAATACCGACCCCCGATCATGGTCTCGAACGGCTGGAAACCAGGTCGCCCCGAATTCGCATCCACTTCCTTATCCCATCGTGTTCGGAGGTTTAGTTCATCGAGCGGACCCGATGCGTTGGCCAGAGTCCATTCAGTCGAGACAAGGGGGCTTCCTGCGCCGGGATCTTTGGCCCGGATGTGATGTGTTTTCGACTCGTGAAGATCAGTCAACTTCATAGGGACGGTCGCATTCGATCCGGCACCGACGATCAGCCCCATTACCGCCCGGGTGTTGGGCAAAGCGCGGATGCCATATGCAAGGGAGGCCAGGGCCGCGACGGTGTCATTGGTCATGACGGCAATCTTCAACCGGGGCAGACTGAACATCTTCCGTCGTTTCCCCGGATTCCTCTCGTGATCGGCCCCGGGACACCACGTATGTCGTTCATATCCGTCTAATAACGCTTGATGCAGATTGAGGTCGGACTTTAAGGCAAAGCCTTTCCCGGTCGGAATCAGGATGGCTTCCTCTACGGAATTTTGCCTATGGAGAGGAGTTGGAATCTATTACTCATCTCGTTCTTTACGACACCGAAGACGACAGGACGTACTTGATCGGAAAACAAAATGAAAAGCCGGTGATGAGCTCCCGGGGCATTACGTCGTGCGGATTGGCGAGACTATCCGCGACCACCTCCGCCACGCAATCGCCGATCCAGCTGAAGAGATCCGAGGCTCGGTCCCGTCGCAGGTGCTCTTCAATGGGCCATGCTTTCTCGATGGTTCTGCGCGCTGCCCGTTGACCCGCGACGAGGTCAATGAAGGCCACCCGCAGGTAGGACAGACCGACATAAACGGCCAAATAGCGCCCAGTTTCCTGTCCGGTGGGCAGCCGGGTAATGGGAGTGGGGAAGAAATCCTTCGGAGAGGCGGCCAACTTCCGGTATAAGACGGACAGTCGGTAGGACAGATCATAGAGGGTTTCACCATCGATGCGTAGCGGTTGGAGAAAGCTCCGCAAGTCCGAGACCGCGGGGGCCATATTTCCCTGTGAACTGGGTTGAGTGGCTGGGGGGGGATAAGAAAGAGAAAGGAAGAGAAGAGAAGACGTGAGAGAGAAAAGCGGATGCAACGTCGATCAACCACCAGAACCCGTGACCGTTGTTACCCTTCCTTTGACCTTTCCTGTGACTCTATCCTATTTGCGAGAAATTTACAGAAACGTTTGGTGTTTTGATTATTGTATGGACTTGTTAAGGATCTCACCAGAATACAACCATTGCGCCTCTACTAAGGGCTCACGTCTCTCGGTCGCTAACTCCACCGTAGTGGATCAATTCCAACCAGCCTCGCAGCACTCATGGGTGATCCCATGCGAAATGGACATCTTCAAGAAAAGAAAAAAAACTCGGGTCAGTTATCGACTGCTGCCTGATTTCACATGATTTCAGCTCGTGCCTGTCCGCCACTCGTCGTCGAAGGAGTGTCCTGGGAAAAGAGATCCGGAGCCAGAGTCAAGGACACCGGTCGCGTTCTCGCTTTGAACGGTTCTTGGTTTCAGGTGGTTCTTTATTGAGTCATTATATAGCTAAGAATTACCCAAAAATATGGTTGGATGCAGGGAAAAGGAGTGATGGTCCCCGGATAACCGGTGAAGACAACAAGCAATGACATTGGATGAATTGTCCTGGACTATGTCCGATCATTGGATCCGAGATCGAAGGTATCCCAGGTTTGAATATGAACCCCCTTTTGCCAATAAGATTCTGGATCTTAGACCTTCCGATCTAGCTTTTCAACCATGTGAAAAGAATGTCACTAGTCTTTCATCCAGCGGAGAGTGCACTGGGAGGATCCAATCAATCGGATCGTACAAGGTCAAAGTCCGAATTCTTCGCTGAAGGTGCATGAATCGACGTGTGACGACGTATGTTACACGGTTTGGAGCATTCAATGACCGGGCATTCCTCCGCAGGGCCTCAGCATGTGAGGCTGAATGATTGCGATGGCCATCTTCCAGCTGATCCGGCCGTGATGGCGACAGGGCTCTTCACACTATCTCGTGAAGGTCGGTATATCTCCTCTCTTCATTCAGCGGCAAAGGTTGGTCGAAAGGGGAAGACAAGGGGAGGAGAGGGGGTAGATGTATTTCTCTAACCGATCTCAGTTCTAGACCGTGAAGCAACTCCAAGGCATATGGAGATAACCATGTCTACAGGAAGCATATGCAGATGTACTCGTACCCTTGGGAGAACAAACTCTGGGAAGGTGATACAGATTGCATAATGGCAGCTCGATCCCTTGCATCGAGCGGACTCGGGTCGAGGGACGAACACGATCATCGCACATCATCTCCAGAAAAGACCACAGTCCGGGGTGGGAGATATCAACTGGCGAGCGAGGTGGTCAGACATATAAACTGTCGACGTTTCCCCTGCCATGAAGAGAAAAAACCATCCATCTCTTGATTCGGCATTTCCAGTTGAATCAATCAATTCTATTCAAGAACTGTCTGTCATTGCTCACCATGAGATCCTCCGCCGCAATCCTCGCTACCGCTATGACCCTGACCGTTGCGGTCCACGCAGGTCGGCCAGGCAATTGTCCCCACGGGCTCAACTATTGCGCCTCAGCCCTCAATTATGTCGGTAGGTGACATATTCATAACCAGCCCGGGGAAATGGAAAGTCCGAGGCTGATCGAATCTTCGTTCACAGGAGGGAATGATGATGCCATCGAGGATGCGTTGCGAGAGGCCGGTCATCCTGATATTGCCGTCTTGCCGGGTCTCTGGTATTTCTGGCTGTTCCATTGCAATCCCGACGAGAGCCTGAGGGTGATCGAGCGATGTAACAATAATTGTATCGGCCAGGGCGTGGGCAAGAGTGATATCTGTGATACCAGTCCCCCGCTGCCCTTTTAGCGGCTTACAAATGACATCCGCAGCAGCGGTGGCTTAAGGGACTGTGGAAAGAGGAAATAACTGTTAACTCAAATGGACTTTCTTTGGAGCAATGGATCCTGTTACGATGTTGGTAGTGCGTTAATGAACTTCTTCGGTCATACTCTGCCTCATAGTCTTATGATAAGACTGAATAAACACAAATCAAGGTGCCGTAGTGTAGTGGTTATCATGCGACGTTGTGGTTTCATCCCCACAGTCCCGTCTCGACCTGGGTTCGATTCCCAGCGGCGCCAATTGGCGTCAGATACTTGGTTTACATTCATTTTTTCCTTTCTTTTTGGACAACTAACCGTTAGGTTTGTTCCTTGTTGTCGATCGGTATTGAGGACGGATCCATAATCAATATATAAGTGGAATGACGTACATACGAATTGTCCTTCCCATGAGCACCATGCCGTGACACGATCAATTATATATCATAATATTACATTTTGGATTAGATAGTTACATAAATGTATATAGATAGGCACATATTATAGGATCGATCCGGGATCGATCGGATTCTCAGGCAGACAACATACATTGCCTCTGCCCTGGTAGTCCGAGCAGAGCCCAACCGGGTCGAGGGACGGTATGCAAAACAACGATTGGCGTTTAAAATTCTCTGGCCTCGCCCGAGACGGCCTCTGCCCGTTGATCGTCCACATCGTCCGCGGCTTCGGCCTTCTCGTACATGGGTGCAAACTTGCTCTTCGCGCGCAGGTTCTTGCCGTAGAAATAGAAGATTACCGGGATCGGCACCAAGACGGCGGCCACACAGCCGAGTAAGGTCGAGGCCCACTGGATCCCCATGTTGTTAAACATCTGGCGCGAGAAGAGCGGGAAACTCGAGGCCACCAGTGACCGACAGAAGGTGTTGGCGGCGATAGCGGATGCAGCACTGGGAGAACAGTTAGTTTACGGGCAATCCAAGTCCAGAGTAAGCAAAGGAAACATACAACATCAAGTAGGTGTCGATCAGATAATTGAAGAGCTGAATAAAGATGATCAACAGACCGAATCCGGTGAACAGACCGGACAGCGTGGGCACAATCCAGTGAATGCTGCTGGTGAACCCCGTCCATCCGAACCAGAACAACCCGGCCGCAAAGAGGGCACCGGCCAGGATCACCGGGGGCAGTCGCCATTCCGGCACCGGGAACCCCCCATTCGCATCCAATTTCTGGTTGTAGGCGCGACTGCCCCAGATGATGTAAGCCGCGGCGATGAACAGCCCGACCACCATCCCGAATAAGGGCAGGCCACTCAGGCCGGGGTTCATCCCATACACGCCCTGGAAGACAAGCGTGTACGCCGTGAGGAAACAGTACAGCAGGCCGTAGATAAAACTGAGATAGATGGTCACAGCCAGGATCAACGGCTCGTAGATCAGCAGCTTCACGGGGCGGGAGAAGTTATTCAACAGCAACTCCCGCACATCCACCTCGATCTCTTCCTGTTTGGCGTGGATGCCCCAGTTCTTGGTGCGACGGCGCAGCTCCGAGGCTTTGGCGATGAGAATGACCGGCGGATAGGATTCCTTCAGAAAGCAAATGTTGAGGGCGAAGGCAAAGAATCCCATGAAGGCGGGGATATACGCGGTGTAGCGCCAGCCGAGGTAGGACATATTGATGAAGCCGCCGATGAAGGGCGCCAGCAGGGGGCCCAGGAACACGGTGCTGGAGAAGATGGCGATGGCAACGCCTCGCGAGCGGTTGTCGTAGATATCGGAGAAGACGGCGGCAACCACCGCCAAAGGGGAACTGCCGAAGATGCCGCAAAAGAACCGACAGATCATGAGGGTTTGGAGGTCTTTTGCGACGGCGACGGCGATGTTGAAGATGCCAAAGCCAAACATGCCGATAATGATGGGCAGCCGACGGCCTTGCAGTTCGGAGAGAGGGGCCCAGATCAGCGGTCCTGAAGCATACCCGATGATATAGAGGGAACTGGAGAGGGTGGACACTTCGATGCTGACCCCGAAGGCATTGGCGACATTTTTTGTCGAGCCGCTAAAGACGGCGGAGTCAAACGTGGAGCAGATACTGGTAAAGGCGAGGATGGCACTGATGTAAAACCTGTTCCGGGACGATCTGGGTCAGTCCTGATGGCCTCGGTCGACCGCAATGGGGAGGGGAGACAATACTCACTTGGTTCCAAGCGCCCAGTTCTGGGGGTATAAGGGATCTTCGGTACCGTCAAACTCGACGACATAGTCCTCTCGATCCGGCAGGGGCGGGGGATAGGGCTTTCCGGCGCCAAAAGCGGGCAGCGGGGCCCGGGACGGATGCGACTTGACGCTCTCCCCAACGGTGAGGGCATGTTGCAGTCGCTGCGTGTTAATCCGACTCAGGGCATCGGACCGGGTGTGTTGGCGCTCCAGGTCGACTTCGGTATTCCGCGACCGGAGGGTGTGTAGCTGAGGGTCACCCACCGAACTACTTGAGCCCGTCGAGGACATGGTCTCGGACGTGAGCGGCCGGTCTGTTCCCTCCGAAGACCCTGGCCGTTGCTCCTTGCGCAGGGCCTCGGTGCCGTTGTGTTCCTTTTCATCGAATGCCATGGTCACCGCGCGCAGGAAGGTTGAGATGAGCGCTGGACATGGAGGTCAACGGAAGATCCCAGAAATCAGATCAGGTCGAGGAGAGCAGAAAGAAAAAGAAAAAGAAAAACCTAGGGACTCGGTTGCGAGAATGGAAAACGACGGCCTGATTATGGGTCAAGAAAGAAGCTTTTTTTTTTTTTTTTTTCTTTCTTTCTTTCTTTTCGGGTGCCTGCCGACTTATCCGTTCAGACCCACCGGGTGGTGATCCATTCAGCGCCTTTTGGGTGGCATTTCACTATGGCATGTACTCGAAGTATGTCGATATGTCCTGTGGATGAAGCCTGTACTGTACATTAGATTATGAAAGGATGTCTGGTGACCGGTGGGATTGTCTGTTCTGACAAAATCTCGACATCCAGTGTCATCATTGATTTCTACGGGCAATGGAAAGCTCAGGATGATTCGGTTACTGATGTCATTCACTCGTCTTGGCACACGTTTGGTCCATCAGGTTCCCATGTTCCCATCATGGTTTCGGCAGATCATCTCGGAGATAAAAGTCAGATTTGACGCAAGGAAGGGTATCACAAAATGATGGATCATATCATTGTTCGGCCAATTTGATATTCTTTCAGTCTTTTTTGGTATTTAAGATAGTTTACAAAGAAGGGGAGAGAAAAGATGGGAGAAGATGAGAAACAAAGAGTCACATGATGTCGGCTACCCTTGTTCTCGACTCACACTCGATCCTACCTACTGGACTACCTCACTCTCTGTAGATTGTATGAAAATATCGTCTCATAGAAAACTTGAATGTGAGACAAGAGAAACTAAAACATGATAACTCGTCTAATTATTGTCTCAGTGGTATGGAGACCTCAGTAGCTTCCGTCTCGTGAGTACTACGTATGGAAAATTATATATTTTCATTAGTACCATTGGACCAACATGATTTCAATTCTCATGAATACGACAGAGTGCACATCTCAACACCGAGCATCCTTCAGCCCATTGAATCTACAATTGATAAAACACATCCATCGCAACCCAAATCTCAAGAGTCAAGTCAATGTCAAAGGATCCATCATTCGACCGCCTTACGAAATGGTCCCAAAGAAGGAATTTCCCCGGCAGATCATCAGATCGGCAGGCGGTGGATCCAATCCTTTCGGCCCGTGTCCGCTGTCCAACTGCCGAGATTATATCATTCGTTTATATAAAAAGAGAAGACAAGACCGGAGACAGCAGAAAGTAGACTCCGATATATGCGCGCTGTTTCTTTTATACTATTGCGATGGGATCCCATCCAAAATCACTCCACTGCGCCCTTCGAATGAATCCTCGCGTCCCAAACTCAGTCGTTCGTATTTCTCGAGCATGTCGCGCACATCCGAAGCTGCATAGTCGTGGGAATCCCCGAGAAAGCTGCTATGATATCGTTCCAGACCCTGCGCGTAGTCGCTCCATCGGTCGGGCACTTGCGACCGTGGATGACGACCAAACAGTTCTTTCACCTCGTCCGAGACCTGATCGGACTGGAGAATGCGTTCGTCTTGGTGTCGGGATCGCACGGACTGCCGGAAGATATGAAAGAGATACCGGCCCACCTGGGACCGAGAGGCGATGATGGAAAATCCGCTCGTCAATGACAGAAAATCCGGATCCAGAATATCAAACGAGGGATGATCGAGCATGGTGAAAAGACCGAGTACGATAGCATAGGTGGCGAACTGATGCGCCCGTTCCATCCCATACAGCCGACGATGAAGCCGCGCAAGGGCTGAAATGGCCTGGGCCGCCGTGAGGCTGATCGCTCGACTGGTCTCATCCATCGTCTGTCGCTGCTCGTCCGAACCGGATAGGAGCGATTGCACCCCAAACCCATCCCGCGCCAAACCGATCAGAAGAGAATTATACCGCATTCTAGGGGTCAACCGGGTTATCTATCAGATTCTATGTAAGTGATGACCACAAAGAAACCCACCTGAGTAGCAGAATATGAGGGGGCGGTTCCCGGTCCGCATCGAATTCCGGGGGAAGCTTTCGCTCCCATTGTCGGAGAGTAGCATATAACTCGTCTTTCCGACCCCGAGGACGGGGGCTCCTGACCGGGCTCTGGTATAAATGACGGGAGATGTCCCGAGCCAGGGAGGACAGATGACAGGATTCATCGAAATACTGACTCAAGTACGACGGCCGCGCCTGCATTTCCACGGGATACGGGGACCACGTATCATCGGGACCGGATTCATTCCGGTCGATGCGGTCGACCGCGACGGAATTGACCCGGCTCGGCCGCAAAAAGTTGGTATGCACCACACTAGGAGATGCGGTTAGCCAAAGAAGGGCCCGGGAAGCGTTGCAGGCTCACGTATCCGCTTGGAACAACCCCCAGGCCGTGCGCTGGATAGATTTGACCATCTCTGTGGACAGTTGCCGTTTGTCCAAATCCAAGGGGTCATGGTTGATGATCTGGAGCGATTCGCCCATTTGGATGGCTAGGTGGAGCATGGTGTATCCCAGGTCGTCCTGGCCGGACATGGCATATCTATTCCGATCCGGGATCAGTGATGTGCTCGGCCGCTCATCTGACGAGAATCGCCTACCTTTCATACAACAGTAAGGCGCCTTGCAGGGAAGCGAGCCGAACACCTTGGTTCATTTCCATCTGGTACCGAGGGAGATATCGTTCGGCTTCAGCCAGGAAAT